AATTACTTCTGGAAAATACACGATAGGGTTTATCTTAATATATTTTATCTCTCAAATAGATACATATCAATATAACTTACAGTATGATGATAAAGAATGCCGAAAATATGCAATCGTTAGGGTATAAAAATAAATCATTCTGTATGGACAGAAACTGATTTTACGAAGAGCAGGTTTGTATGTGTTGGAATCCTGCCAGAATATATAATTTTTGTCAATCTCTTTCTATCTCTCTTTATATATATGTATATATATAATTAGGTGACCAAGATTATCTGCACGAAAACTGGGATAAACTAGTTTAATGAAATCTGGATACCTACTTACAGAAATAATACAGTCAGTAAAATTATTTTTTACATGTAAATCAAACATATCAGTAGTTTTCTTCAACATTGATTGAATGATATACAGCTCAATTGATTGTTAAATAGTTATTTGTGTTGATGAAAAAATAGAAGATTTACAGTCTCTCGTTATCTTTTTCATTGTCAGACCATTGTTCAAGCTAATCTGAATAATTTTTTTGTCAACACGATTTTAACGAATCATGAAACGATGAGACAGTAGATATCTTTGAATTTCAAGGACTCTTAGGGATACTGATAAAAACTAAGATGGAACAAATTGTTTGTCACAAGAGGAGAATATTATGAAGGGCTCAAGGTCTATTTATCTTAAATTATGTGTAATAAAATTTTCATGATCTCATTTCTCATAATAATTAGAGAAAGGGGCTTACAAATATGATAAAATAGGAACTATTCTCTTAGTTGTAATAATTGATGACGGATATCTAAGACGATGTTTCTTTCCCAATTTATAACAAATCTTCAAAAGTAGTGTATATGTTGTTTTATTGCCGAAACAAAAGAATATAAAACTTTTTCTAAATTGCAATTTACACCATTGATTTCTCTTCTCTTCAATATTATTCTTAGACAAGCACTACTTGATGTTAGTTCAAATCATCGAGAAACAAATCGATCCTTTTAAGAGTAAAGTGGTGTTATGCTGACGAGCATTATCATATAAAGACGTAAACCCAATATTGTCTACCAACTTTTACCGACCATATAACACTAAACGAACTATGTTGTCGTACTAAGCTATTTAGATTAACAACTACACTGGAAAACTGACTCATAGAAATACTGATTGTCACTTCCAAGTAGATAAAGTGGCAGAAGAAGAGTTGTTCATTTTGAAGATTTATGTCACTGACTAATTTTAGTTCGGCAACTGGTTAAAACCAGAAAACAGTGGATAGCTATTTCATCCTAGTATGGGACTCAACAGCAAATTGCATCCAAGACTCCATTATGAGCGAAGTTCAGGATAAAAAGAGCTGTAGAGTGTTTCCTGGTTTGTAATAGTTGTCTAACTTTAATCAGTCCATTATATGGAACTATGAATTCAAAAATCTCTGCGACTCTCTAAAACAACAAGATATGAAAGTATCACATCCTACTTTTCCATTTCTAACATGAACATCAAGTTGTAATAACATGCACAACAGACTAATAACAAAAATTGACAGTTTAAAACTACAGGGTCAAATTATCACTGTATTCAGTTATCTAGTAGTTTCAATATCGTCCTCCCATCGCAAAAATACCTATGATTTATGATAATATAATTTAAATAAGTCACGAGTATTTTAGAAAATGTGGAGAACCAACGAACAACACAAATTATCAAAATCAGAAGCATATAATTGAAACATGCAAAATAAAGACTGGACTAAACACCGAAGAAACATGAGGGAAGCGATCTGAGCAATAACAGTAACAAATGAAAGCGAGGAAAATACAGAGAAATAAACACTTTCTCTCTCATGCACACTCTTTCACTCCTCGTCAAAGCCCGCCAACTCGAACGGCAGATTGTAAGTTCAGAAATAAAAACTAAAAAAATTAGAAAGAGAAGAACGAACACATTTTTGTTATGAAAACACAAATAACACAGGTGATCAAAAGCAAAGATGTACAATTTGTGTAGTTTTAACTAACTAATCAAAGAAAGGAAACCAAAATCAAGGATAAACGTAGGAAGAAGAAAGGTGAGATTATTTTCTGTTTCCCCCTTAGTTTTTTTACTTCGTGTGCATTTTACTATCCACTAATTATTTTCTAATTTCTCAGCTTTTTATTTTCTCATCATTTAGATAATTGTGTCATTCGAACATTCGTTTTCTCTAGAAAAAATTCTTTTTTTCACACAAAAGTTCATTTCCGTTTTTCCTGTCTGTGTGTATTGGTGTCTACAAGGTTTGGTTACAACTATATAATTAACTGAAGTCATCTTATTTAATTTTTTCTGATAAGCATGCTTGTACATGTGTAGTACATACATACTTTATGGTGAATTGCTTGTACTATTTTCAACTTATGATTGACGTGAATAATGTTACAATGTATAAAAGCACTACCTACAAACACGCGCATGTACATAAACAAACGCAAACTCATTGAACCGATGTCTATGTAGTAAACTTTAAGAGTTGTCTTTTGTAAAAAATAAAAATAAAATTGAAGTAAACGACTGTGTTAGCTAGAAGGGAAAGTCATAACAATAACAAAACACAGTGGAATAATTTCAAACAGCTGTTATTCTTCTGTAAATTCTTTTTTTCATGACTTAAAATAATTGGAATTCAACGTAAAAATGTTGAAAAATGTTGTAAAACTCACAAAAACTAATTTTTCTCTGAGTATACCTAACTAACGAAATTAATACATAATTTCATGATTTGAAAACGAGATTTTATCATAAATTGTTGCAAACTGGTGTCGAGGTTGTTGAATACCAACAAATGTTTTTTTCTAGTTTTGAACGTCATCGACGATTTTCAGTCTGTGTTGTTTTCTCTGAGTTGAGTGATTTAATAGCAATGGTTTCACTGTCTTTCTGGACAACATTATCCGCTTCCTGTAGAAGTGAACAAGCACTGAGTCACCCAGTTCTGATGGTCTTCTTTGTATAAAAGTTATTTTAAGAGGTTCAGTCAACTTTATTTGTCCTTGTATTCCTGTCGATCGTTTTTATTCAGTTGTTGTCTGGTCACGTGATTAATTGTGCATTTTTATAGGTAGAAAATAGGGTTTGTGTTCATATGTCTATCGATTGCGGATCGACAGATAATCAACCGTACAATTTTAAACGGTTCATGTTGGGTTAACAACAAAACTATCTGGTCTTCGGATAAGTGAGATGATTCTGCGTTGCTTAATAATTATTCTCAGATGATATACATTTAGTGTATTGTAAAGTATTTGTATTTTAAAGCCAACTTATTAGAGAAAAAAAACAAATTTAGAGACTGAAAAATAACGTTTAGGATAAAAACCAGATGAAAAAAGCAATGTGTCTCATGTTTATTATTCAAAGAATATTTTTACACAATAAATTTAACAACTCATGTACTACCAGTACGAATGCTTGCATAATACAAAGGTCCATGTAAGCGCACAGTATATAAAAGTCAATCAACACAGACGTAGATATAAGGAACTGAATGCTTAATTTTTGTGGAAAAATAAATCTACAAACAGATATATATATATATAAATTATCGTAAAAGCGAAAACATAAATTTTCCATTAACGATACACTATTTCTCGATTTATAATCATAATCTGCTTAAAATAATTATTAATGTTTTATTGTGAAAAGTAATAATTTTTAGTGAATTATTTTTTTAATGAGTTAGGATAAGATAGAATAAGGTAGGATATGTAGGGTAATACTGTACCGTATCCTTTTGTTTTAAAATGGTTGGCATTAAGGAGGAAAAATTGATACATAAAAGTGTAGTTTAATGGGTCATGAATCATAATTGTCTTTTATTTTCTTCCGCTATTTTCTTTGTGGATGAATACTTTCTATTTTTTCGTGGGTAAGACTAAACTTAGCTATAAGGTAATGTTTAATGATTATTGTGGATACTAATTAATTTACTTTTACTTTTCTACACTCATTGTCTATGATTCACCAGTCTAATGGAGTTGTTTTATCATTTTAATGAACAGCTATGTCTTAGGTGGATTAACGGTCCTTCAGTCACTACTTTAAATTTCATTCGTACGCTTATATTCTTTTGATTCAGGTATCTTGGTTGAGTAATATACGAATAGTTATCGCCCATTGTTCAATTTAAAATTCAATCAGCTAGATATTATTGCATTTTAACTGTGTTTTGTAAATATTATTATTAAAGACGAGAAGGTCTCATTTGAAGTACTTTTCACTACCATAATTGTTCATGGTGTGATATAGAAAAGGTATTTATTTTTAAAAAATGTTACTCGCTTGGTACACAATCCATAAGTGTTAAAAATGATTCGAGATATCATATATGTTGTTTAGTTTAGATAAGAGGATTTATTAAATTACTGAACAATTAAATACGAACCACTTGGTAAAACAAAGGGAAAGTATTAAAATTAATTAAAATTGTATTACAATTTGATTTTCATAGATATTCTTGATATTCTAACTGACAAAATAGTGAGTTTATAAATACTCAGTATAATCAAGTATTTATTTTGCAAAATTATTGAAATGTGATTAGCAGTAGAACCTGATAAGGATATTTTGTTCTATTTGAGATGACGATGATGATAATGATGACAATGGGTTTTATGGATATTTTAGTAATTTTACTTGTTCAGATAATGAGTCAATTGAGGCTAAAACAGCATGGGAAACCTGAAAGCACTGAAAGGCCTTCTCCTCCAATTACGCGACAACTAAGAACTGCGCATCCACCATACCGCGTCGAGAGAATATAAACCAAGATTCATCGATCTCGCTCACCAAAATTTATTATCTACACCAATGAGCCGGCTTCCAAACGACAGAATGTACGAATAGAGTTATACCAAGAAATCCAGCAACACATACAACATTGTATTCAGTCAATTAATATCTCACAAAAGACAAGGTTGAAATACATGGGTCACTTATACTCACTAGAACACCAGGAAATATCTCTTAACTCAGTCAGCAGTGGCCATACGAAGACGATGATGATGATGATGATGATGATGATGATGATGATGATGATGATGATGATGATGATGATGATGATGATGATGATGATGATGATGATGATGATGATGATGATGATGATGATGATGATGATGATGATGATGATGATGATGATGATGATGATGATGATGATGATGATGATGATGATGATGATGATGATGATGATGATGATGATGATGATGATGATGATGATGATGATGATGATGATGATGATGATGATGATGATGATGATGATGATGATGATGATGATGATGATGATGATGATGATGATGATGATGATGATGATGATGATGATGATGATGATGATGATGATGATGATGATGATGATGATGATGATGATGATGATGATGATGATGATGATGATGATGATGATGATGATGATGATGATGATGATGATGATGATGATGATGATGATGATGATGATGATGATGATGATGATGATGATGATGATGATGATGATGTGATGATGATGATGATGATGATGATGATGATGATGATGATGATGATGATGATGATGATGATGATGATGATGATGATGATGATGATGATGATGATGATGATGATGATGATGATGATGATGATGATGATGATGATGATGATGATGATGATGATGATGATGATGATGATGATGATGATGATGATGATGATGATGATGATGATGATGATGATGATGATGATGATGATGATGATGATGATGATGATGATGATGATGATGATGATGATGATGATGATGATGATGATGATGATGATGATGATGATGATGATGATGATGATGATGATGATGATGATGATGATGATGATGATGATGATGATGATGATGATGATGATGATGATGATGATGATGATGATGATGATGATGATGATGATGATGATGATGATGATGATGATGATGATGATGATGATGATGATGATGATGATGATGATGATGATGATGATGATGATGATGATGATGATGATGATGATGATGATGATGATGATGATGATGATGATGATGATGATGATGATGATGATGATGATGATGATGATGATGATGATGATGATGATGATGATGATGATGATGATGATGATGATGATGATGATGATGATGATGATGATGATGATGATGATGATGATGATGATGATGATGATGATGATGATGATGATGATGATGATGATGATGATGATGATGATGATGATGATGATGATGATGATGATGATGATGATGATGATGATGATGATGATGATGATGATGATGATGATGATGATGATGATGATGATGATGATGATGATGATGATGATGATGATGATGATGATGATGATGATGATGATGATGATGATGATGATGATGATGATGATGATGATGATGATGATGATGATGATGATGATGATGATGATGATGATGATGATGATGATGATGATGATGATGATGATGATGATGATGATGATGATGATGATGATGATGATGATGATGATGATGATGATGATGATGATGATGATGATGATGATGATGATGATGATGATGATGATGATGATGATGATGATGATGATGATGATGATGATGATGATGATGATGATGATGATGATGATGATGATGATGATGATGATGATGATGATGATGATGATGATGATGATGATGATGATGATGATGATGATGATGATGATGATGATGATGATGATGATGATGATGATGATGATGATGATGATGATGATGATGATGATGATGATGATGATGATGATGATGATGATGATGATGATGATGATGATGATGATGATGATGATGATGATGATGATGATGATGATGATGATGATGATGATGATGATGATGATGATGATGATGATGATGATGATGATGATGATGATGATGATGATGATGATGATGATGATGATGATGATGATGATGATGATGATGATGATGATGATGATGATGATGATGATGATGATGATGATGATGATGATGATGATGATGATGATGATGATGATGATGATGATGATGATGATGATGATGATGATGATGATGATGATGATGATGATGATGATGATGATGATGATGATGATGATGATGATGATGATGATGATGATGATGATGATGATGATGATGATGATGATGATGATGATGATGATGATGATGATGATGATGATGATGATGATGATGATGATGATGATGATGATGATGATGATGATGATGATGATGATGATGATGATGATGATGATGATGATGATGATGATGATGATGATGATGATGATGATGATGATGATGATGATGATGATGATGATGATGATGATGATGATGATGATGATGATGATGATGATGATGATGATGATGATGATGATGATGATGATGATGATGATGATGATGATGATGATGATGATGATGATGATGATGATGATGATGATGATGATGATGATGATGATGATGATGATGATGATGATGATGATGATGATGATGATGATGATGATGATGATGATGATGATGATGATGATGATGATGATGATGATGATGATGATGATGATGATGATGATGATGATGATGATGATGATGATGATGATGATGATGATGATGATGATGATGATGATGATGATGATGATGATGATGATGATGATGATGATGATGATGATGATGATGATGATGATGATGATGATGATGATGATGATGATGATGATGATGATGATGATGATGATGATGATGATGATGATGATGATGATGATGATGATGATGATGATGATGATGATGATGATGATGATGATGATGATGATGATGATGATGATGATGATGATGATGATGATGATGATGATGATGATGATGATGATGATGATGATGATGATGATGATGATGATGATGATGATGATGATGATGATGATGATGATGATGATGATGATGATGATGATGATGATGATGATGATGATGATGATGATGATGATGATGATGATGATGATGATGATGATGATGATGATGATGATGATGATGATGATGATGATGATGATGATGATGATGATGATGATGATGATGATGATGATGATGATGATGATGATGATGATGATGATGATGATGATGATGATGATGATGATGATGATGATGATGATGATGATGATGATGATGATGATGATGATGATGATGATGATGATGATGATGATGATGATGATGATGATGATGATGATGATGATGATGATGATGATGATGATGATGATGATGATGATGATGATGATGATGATGATGATGATGATGATGATGATGATGATGATGATGATGATGATGATGATGATGATGATGATGATGATGATGATGATGATGATGATGATGATGATGATGATGATGATGATGATGATGATGATGATGATGATGATGATGATGATGATGATGATGATGATGATGATGATGATGATGATGATGATGATGATGATGATGATGATGATGATGATGATGATGATGATGATGATGATGATGATGATGATGATGATGATGATGATGATGATGATGATGATGATGATGATGATGATGATGATGATGATGATGATGATGATGATGATGATGATGATGATGATGATGATGATGATGACTGAAATAATTTGTGATATGTGTTTCCAGGGAATATTTGGAATCTCTGGGCGTTGAACATTTCTCAGTTCTCGCGCTATATGCCTTATCGGTCTTCCAATGCTTCCAGTTTTTCCATGCTTATCTTGCTTTTATTGACTCAAGATCTCAACTTATGAAATTATTTGCGTCTCCATAATTTAGATTGTCGTTATCATTATCATGACGATTATCTATATCTTGTGCTCTGTAATGACTGTCTTCAAGAGGTGTTTCCCTGTGTTCTATTGAGAAGTGTTGACCAGTGGAATTCAACCTTTTCTTTTTTGAGATATTAACTGACTGAAGACAATGTTGGATGTGTTGCTGAATTTCGTGGATTAACTGTATTTGGACATTAACACGGTTGGTCGCCGGCTCGGTGGTGTTTGTATTAGGTGCTATATTTGTAATCGATTACGTGTTCACCTAGACTGAGAACAAATCGAAGACTTGTCACTAAAGGCTAATAAACTAACTATTCTTTTTCGTCTCAGACTCACTTACAAGAGAGATCATTCGAATTCCGAGTGAAGAATTATATTTCACAGAATAGTCAGATGCCTGCGCGATAACAAGTGACATAAACAAGAAATTCGAATTTTATAAATGGAATTACGAAATTAGCCCCTTTTTCAAGTGAGTACTAGGGATCTAACGTCCCCAGTACACCTCTTTTTTTAATAATGTACTTTCCTGGGGTCGACTTGCATCTTGACTTTTGTTCGCCGCTCTCAGAGAGGCCTCCTTGTGGAACGGAGATCAGCATATTTTTGAGCTTTCTGTTTTGGTGGGGCTGCCGGTAAGTTAAAGGTATCAAGCAGAATGTCAAGTTGAGGATTTACTCCTGTCGGCGGGCGGTCTGGAGCTAACCGTTTGCGTATCTGATTCTGATGGCCTGACCATCTGTTGCCTCCTACCTCTACTTCGTACATGACACGGCCTACTCTTCTGACCACTCACGCTTCTGTCCATGGACCATGGGTTGCTCTGTAGTCACGGGCAAACACAGAACATCCCACTTCGTACGTGGACTGCTTTTCAGACTTTGTCTGTACTGGTGTTGATGCATTAGGCTGTGAATCGTTTTCAGTCTTCTTCCCATCAGGATTTCTGCTGGGGACGTTTGCTTCAACACCGTCTCATTCGGTGTCGTCCGGTAAACGAACAAGAAATTTTGTAATGTGTCGGTTGGTGTCCCCTCCTCTTTCGATTTAACCAATGCTCTTCTAAACGTACCCAAAAATCTTTCCGCCTGCCCATTCGACTGCGGGAGGTTTGGTGGCGAACGCAAGTGCTTGATGGCTAGCCGTTGACAGAAAGCTTGTGACTGGCTAGAGGTAAATTGCGATCCGCTGTCAGATACAATCACATCTGGCATGCCATTTCGGGAGAAAACTTCATTGAGGAGCTGTATTGTTGTAATTGTCGTGGGCGGCGTTACATGACTGATTTCTGGCCATTTCGAAAAGGCATCGACCACAACTAAATACATAGTCCCATTAATTAGGCTCGCGAAGTCGACGTGTATCCTGGACCAAGGATGATCAGGTTGTGGCCATGAAACTGGCGGGACTTTGGCATCCACCTTCGCCGCTTGCTGGCACCGAATGCATTTTCCAACCAACCCAGTGATATGTTGATCCACTAGGGGCTAGTATGGATAACTCCTGTCTATGGATTTCATTCTTCTAACCCCCGGATGACCAAGGTGGAACTGTTTCAGCACGTTTGCGCGAAAGGTCTCTGGCACAACCACTCTTTCTCCAAGCACCAAGCAGCCGTTTATAATGCACAGTGAATCCCGCATCTGATACAGCTGTTTCATGTCACCATCAAACTTCTTACACGGCCTACCATTGGTGACATAACTCATCACCATCTTGGTGATGTGGTCATTCCTGGAAGCGTTTCGTATGTCTGTTGCAGACACCGGAAATGCCCGTATTGCGGTTGTCATACAATATTCCGCGTGGTCTTCCGCTGACAGAGATGCGATTACCATGTTTTCCCCAACCGTCAATTGACCATTAATGAGTCGTGAAAAAGCATCTGCCTGACCGAGTTGTTGAGTGCGTCGGTATCGCATCTCGAAATCATGCCCCAAGAGTACCAAGGCCCATCGCTGAAGACGATTTGCAGAATGGGCTGGAATGCCAGATTTCGACCCGAGTATTGCGAGCAGGGGCTTGTGATCTGTGAGAAGCGTAAATCCCCTACCGTACAGAAACTTGTGGAAACGTCGAACAGCAAATACAAGTGCAAGGGCCTCTTTTTTATCTGACTTCATTTCTTTTCTGCAGGGATTAGTGTACGGAATGCATGCATAACAGCTTTTTCTGACGCATCTGGAAACTGATGTGAAATAACAGCACCTAGGCCATACGCTGAGGCGTCTGTAGCTACGATGATCGGCATAGATGGATCGTAGTGCGTTAACAATTCCGAGCTAATTATGAACTTGAGTTTAAAAAACACCGCATCACACTCTCTAGTCCAGTTTCATGTGCTTTTCTTCTTCAGCAGACGATTCAATGGGGCGCGAATATCATGCATCGAAGGAAAGACCGCTGCGTAATATGTAACAAGTTCCCATGAAGGAACATAGTGCCGAGACATTGGTGGGAGCGGGCATCAGTTTGATAGTTCGAATGTTCTCAGGATCCAGTCTGCGTCCGTCAGCGTCAAAAATGGACCCCAAATAATTTACTGACTGCAATAAAAACTGGCATTTCTCTGGGTGTAACCGGAACCCATTGTCACTGATGTTTTGCAGCAGCAATGTTGTGCGTTCCTGTAGCTGCTCTAATGTCGACACAACAACTAAGATGTCATCGAGATAAACCTCGACTCCCGAGATAGTATGGCATCCATCAGTTGCAGGAAGTTAGATGGAGCAGTCTTGACTCCAAAAGACAGATGGTTATACTGAAACAACCCACGATGAGTATTGATAGTAAACAGCTCTCTTGATGCCTCATCTACTTCCACTTGCAAGTAAGCATCAGGTAGATCCAGTATTGCGAAAAACTTTCCCTCATCTAGCATAGTAAAGAGATATGCGGAACTGAAGGAGGATAATGATGCTGTTTCAGACCTGTAGGAAGGTCAGAACACATACATATCCTGCTGTTGGCCTTCTTGATAACAACTATAAGTGCTGCCCAAGCAGAGTAGAAAACGGGCTAATAACTACTTGTTGTTGGAAGCGATTCAGTTCTTCATCTACTGTTGGTAATGTTGCGTAAGACACAGGTCTTTTTGGGCGGAAAACAGTCTTAACCTCAGGTTTCAACCAAAGCATTGCTTTCAAGGCAAAAGACCGACCCGATCCAGGTTGGAAAATAGATGAAAACTGCGACTTTTGCTTCTTCGTATATGCTTCAAGGTCATGTGGTTGTGATACCAGGTGGCATATGGTATTTATCAGAAAATCAGCTAATTCTAGCGGCTGCAATTAAATGCAACTCAATTTCGTAAATGTCCCCTTCAGCTTAGCAAACAATCAGGATGAGGCGGGAATTGTTGCATCCGCCATCTTTGTAAGCAATGGCGGTCGGCTTTCTTCGTTCTGCGATTCTTCCAGCTAATTCTTTTGTGTAGCTATTTAATTTAATGTCTCAGTGTGCTAAAATGCCGCGTTTAGTGTGATGTCCTATATGTTGGTGTGAAGTTTATTTCGAATCAGCGATGTTTTCTGGGTTTTTGCTGCTTCTACTCAAGTCAATGTATTTCTTCGGGCAATCTGGCTAGTCTTGTGTTATAAAATGTCCGCCGGCTTTCTTCGTTCTCTGTTTTTTTTTCCGCTATTTCTTTTGTGTAGCTACAGAATTTGATGTTTCAATGTGCTAAAATCCAGAAGTTAGTGTAATACTCTGAACGTTGGAGCAAAGTTTTTCCTGATTTTGCTTTGTTTTCTGGGTTTTACCTGCTGCTAATGAAGTCACTGTATTTATTCAGCTAAGCTGGCTAGTACTAACATAAGACCATACGTTTTCAAACGACAATCGGTTATGTTTTACATCGTTTTCTAGATATCCGAAGTTCGTTTTCATTTAGCTAAAATAATTGTTGCTGCCGCCTGTGACTCTAACTGTTCGCATGTTCGTTCCTAACTGTCCTTTAGGATGTTATCGGCAAAATGAAAGGAAACAATCTGCGGTTTTTAATTTTCTTCAGTTTTATGGACAACACTGTCCCACCAACGAGTCAAACTAATACAGAGTGCCCAGCAGTAGGGTATATCGGTACTGATTTCGAAAGGACCCAGACTTCCGACAATTATAGATGAAGTCACAGATGCTACCAATCTATTGCAGAGGGCTTGTCATAAAAAATATGCCACATAACAGTAACAGAGGGGTCGTACCCATTACTCAGTGCGTTAAAGCAAGCTTAACATTGAAAAGCCGGAAATCTGCTACCAGTGTCTTGTGTATGTTTGCTGTTTTGACCATAAAAGGAAGACGAAGGGTCATGATCAAGGAGTAAAAAGGTAATTAACTGTTATTAAGCTCACTTTTTTATAGATTATATTTCACCACTCGCAAATTTGTGTTTTCTTACGGTATGATGTCAACTGGTACCTAATATGTTCACCCTTATGATGAAAAGTACCTGCAAATTTTCACCTTCATATTCGAATTATTTTTGGACAACTGTCTTACAGTCTGAGTGCTTCGTACGCCCTGGGAGACTAGATTCCTACATTATTCGTAGTTCCAGTATAACTTTCTCACGCAGTAAGTTCAAATTAGACACTAGTCTTTCTAAATAAGCCTTTTAAGCTAATATCCGTATTCTCTATTTCAGTTAATCGATGAAGACATGTACCACGTGCATCTGCTGCATACTGCCATTTTACTCTAATTCTAACTGTTATATCTTACTTTTGAATAATAAAATTGCTATATGCTGCAAATACAGACTTATTTGTTTTGATGGAGGTAGGGGTGTTCATGGGATTCTCACTAAAGAGCTAAGCGAGTGCGTAAACCAGTGTAAGGTACCATACGGGGTGCATTCGAGTTACTAGTGTTGCAT